AAGGAGCGACAGTTAAGCAATAAAATAAATGCTAAAGATATGATTTGTGGTACATGACAAATAAAAATTAAAAAGCTGTTTAATTATAAAGAAATGTATTTCATGTCTACAGTATCACATGTACACCTTTGCATTGCATGTGTCTGAACATACTGCAGGTATCGCTCATGTAGAAGTGTATTAATAAATAACGCGAGCCAAGATACGGTTCACTTAAGAGGAAATATGTTAGAGGTATTTTGGAAGTAACCCCTTTTTATTAGCTTCGAGGAAGTACTTTGTTTTTCCTCTGGTTTTCTCCCTCTAAGCTTCTCTTATATGTGTTTTTTTTCTGCTGTGTTTGGCAGACATGTTAGTCATGGTGGGAGGTCTCTATGTGCGAGGGGTTCTGTTCAGGCAGACGTACAGCCTTCAAGTCAAAATCCTGCGTGTCTCGAGTGTATCTGTGTGCATATGTGTTTGTCCAGGGATCCATTAGTCCGTTATTAGCACACTGTGGTCCACATCTGGCCCTCAGAACCAGCTCCAGCCCCACATACTCAAAGGGATGTTTCAGACTTGATCCAAAATGCTGGAGTCCTAACCCAGGTTTGTTTCTTTAGATTTTCAGGAGGGGGAAGTCAGTCTTGGAAGTTTCATTAATCAAACGAGATGAGCGCCGGAGATTGCTGAAAATAAATCTCACAATAACTGTTTTGAGCCGGACTCAAAGCTAAATTTTCACACACACACACAGTCGCTTTCTGGCTCCTCCAAACATACCAAGACTGATGAAAATATTCTCGGGTCTGAAAAACACAAAAGTCTGCATATTTGAAAACACCACACCGAAATATATTTCTTGTTTGTTTTTTAGGCCGCTACCACAGCATCTTATTTCTGGCTGTTAGTGCTGCAGTGTGGGCCGTCTCTGTATGTGTGCACAGTAGAAGAAAAAAATATGTTTTTTTTGTTTTTTTTTAATCTCTTTACACAATTTCTTGCAAGTAATAGGAGGAGCTACATTTAGTCGGTGCTTGCTTTTCTGGTGCAGAATAAACAAAGCAGTTGACTTTGCGGTGAGTCAAGATTTTTGCCATATTTTTTTGTTGAAGAAATGTTGTACAGTAATTGTGGCTTTTATATTCGTCCGTACTCTTTGGTTTAGTACCAGTAATTTGTTCCTGTCGTAAAAACTGTTTCTTCTCTTGCCTTCATCCACAAAAACCAGACTAACACCTCAGTAGACATTTTGGGTTTTGACCACTTTGTTCTCCAGTATTTTGCTTTTTTTTTCCGCCAAGAGTTCTGTGCAATATAAAAATGCAGAAGCAGTGCCTGAAAACTGGCAAAATGTTACCAAAAATGCTGATTTGAAGTCGACTCAGACTATTATGCAGCAGAACTGTCGGCGTTTGTTGGATGGATGCTCATTATGGCGTCTGTGTTAAAATAAACTGGATCATAATTTATCCGACTGTTATTCCGACTACGGACATATATGACTTAATGACCGGTTATGGTGGCTAGTCTCTGCTTTCGTTGGATGTGGAGAGTATGGTGACTTCACCGTGTCATTCTGGAGCTCTGACTCGTTCACCGGCCCTCTGAAAAGCTTCAGTTGAATTTCACAAAGAAGCGTCTGTGTTATACATATATATTTTATTCAAAGCAGCATGTGCTCCTTTATGTTCGGGGAAAAGCACAGTGAACATGAAAGGAGCAGCTGACTGGAGCACATGTCTTGCGCTCGTGATATTAAGTTTTATCGGCAATGTGTGCTTGTGTTTAAAGCTTTAACTTCTAGCTTTGGCCAGATTTATTAAGTCAATCCACTACATTGTTCGTTGAACACTTGTGTACCATTTTCAAATCTGAGGTGTTTAAGTGCCCAATACACTGCTACTGACCACTCAAACAGAGCGTTTTACCTCCAAGTTGTGTACACAGGGCAGTTAAATGTTTGGGAAATGAAGATGATTAGTTCAAGACACCTCAGCAGTAGTGAGTAGAATAGCAAAAGTTTCAATATAAGGCTTTAATTCAAAGATAAATATTAGAGATAGTTGGTCAGGTAGCTGTTGGCAACCACCTCAATGTTAGACAGACTTTCTCTCTCTAAGGCTACATCCATGCTAATACATTTTTATTTTAAAATGCATAACTTCCACTGTGTTTACGCTTCATGTCGACACTATTCTGGTGTTTTAGGACCCTTTGAATTTAGACTTTTAAAAAAACTTTGCATTTTAGTCTTTACGAACACAGAGTTTTGAAAAAAGATGGTTTAGAGATTCATGCTTTCCAACTATATGTTTGTTCCCTAATTCATCATGCTCCTCCTGTCACTTGAACATTCTCCTGAAAAATAAAACAAAGGACATGCTTTGACGGCCAGTGGCTAATTCAGTGTCGATTTCTAGCAGATGTTGTGCAGCAACCTGTAGTCTTACTTTATGGCCATTACTGTTCTTCGTCTGTGGTATTTTCTACAACTAAGCAACCAACTCCCTGCTTTATGTTTACACTGAATGCCCAATAAATGGCAGCGTGACTTGCCTTTTCAGGTGTGTTAATGTGCATGGAGATTATTTCTAAAATGGAGATAGCTTTCCTTTTAAACCACCATTTTTAAAACAAAAACTCTAAATATGTGTGGATGTAGCCCACATGTGAACAGAGCCTTTGTGTTATTGTTTTTGTAATTTTAATGGGCTATCATGTCCTCCAGATAGAACTGAACATCCACAATTTAAGCAGCTCAATCTTTTGCTGTGGTTGAGCCTCAGATTATTTGAGCGTACAGTGGCTTCAACAAAGGCACACCTCAACTCTGTGTTGTGTTTTTTTTCCTAAAAGGAACACTTAACTGATTTATAACTTCTTGTTTTGATTGGAGCTTTTGGCTCAGGCCTGATGTGAGGATGGGGCGGGTCGAGAGGGAGCTGATGAGGACAAGGAGTGAGGAATATGAGGAGAAGGGTAGCGAGCTGGAGGGGTGGAGGTCACCGGTGAGAGCAGGATGAGAGCAAAGGATTTTGAAGGATCAGAGACAGAGGTGAGTAAGTGAGAAGTGAAGCTCTGGGGAGGGGGGCGAACAGGAAATCCCATTGTGTGGTGGCTCCAGCCATTTCCTGTTTGTGTGCCAGCTGTACTTCCCTCCTTCCTGATGTACCCAGGAAGTCGGTATCGCATTCCAGCTCTGATCGGCTGTTGTGCGAATGTGTCACAGAGATCTCCGGACATTGTCATTGTCAATACCTGCATGTTTGTTGCTTCCCCGGTCTATTTTTATATGCGCTAGAGCACATATAAACACTTTAAGAGACTATTCTTCATTAAATATACTTGTCATAGTTTGTTGAGACTGCTTAAACCTTAAATCCAAGGTTGGGCAGCGCAAAGGGAAACAGAATTGATTTAGAGAGTCACCTGAGGTTTGTGTTTCTGAGAAAGTGCAGTGGAAGCTTTGAGATTTATAGCAAAACCCAAAGCGAAGTCTAATAGTTTTAGTGTTGTCTCGGAAAATAAATGTGTTGTCAGATGAACTCTATGTGCCAGTTTGCCCTGGTAGTTATGAGGAAACAAATATCAATTATTTTAACCTTCTAAACCCCAAGCAGTTTCTGACCTTTTTTTTGTTTGCTCCCGACACATTTTTACTCACTGTTGGCCCATTTTTCACCCCAATATAAATATATAAAGTCACATAAAGGACAACCATGGCTAGAAATAGAGAGATCTCAAAAATGTCCTTTGTGCAGTTTAACAACGTAAAACTGCTTTCAGCCATAATGAAGGAAAAACTAAAGTTGAATTTCTTTGATTATTTATTTTACAAAGATTGTAATGTAAAACATTTTTCCACTTGTCCATAAATAAAATACTGACGCTGTATACTATAGAGATTTCACCACTAACATTTTTACTTTTTAAACACAGCCTGCAGTTCATCCAATGCAGGGGTCTCGAACTCCACTCCGGTCCTCGAGGGCCGCAATCCTGCAAGTTTTAGATGCTTCCCTCTTCCAACACACCTGATTCAAATGATCAGGATCGTTATCAGGCTTCTGCAGAGCTTGATGCTGAGCTGATCATTTGAATCAGGTGTGTTGGAAGAAGGAAACATCTAAAACTTGCAGGACTGCGGCCCTTGAGGACCGGAGTTCAAGACCCCTGATCCAAAGGGTTCTTGAGTTTTTGTCATGTGACTGTTGGTTCCAGTTGAGCCTCATGTGGCTCCTCAGTTGTGTTTAAGATCTGAGATTGTTTTGTTTTTTGACAGCACCGGGTTAGTGCAGAGGCATTACTTTTGGCAAATCTTTAAATGAGACATGTACAGTTAAAGTGATTTTTAAAAAAATGAGGTATCATGATTTTAAGCTTAGAATTGGGAAGTCTTTCCGACTAAACTGGGTAACACAGGTGATTGGTTCAAGTTCTGTTTGAGAGGTGAACATCTGACCGTTTTACACTTTCTTGCTATGGTGAAAGGTGGTATTTTGTGATTTTCAATGAAGGCGTCACGCCTTTCAAATCTGCTGGATTGTTTCGGGGTTCAGAGGGTTAATTAACATTTAATCTGATCATTATTTTACCAGTGACTTAATTAATGTGTCCTTGAAATATTCTAAAATAGTGAAAAGCTCAAGGTGACATCTTCAGAGAGTGTGCTTTGATAGAAACCCAAACAAATTCAGTTTACTACTAAAATGGATGAAAACGGCAACAGATGCTCTAAATAGCGGAGCTGGAGTCAATAAATGTTTGGCATATTTACTACAATATTTTGCCTTTTCTTCAGTTCACAGTTTCATCTCTGAATGAGATTGAGCTCCTTTTTTATCTTCTCCTTTTGGCCTTGACTGTGACTCTACATTCTTGGTCTGCAATGTGCGATAGACTTTGTTCTCCTTGTAGAAAATTGAGCCCCTTTTTCTTGTTGACGTCCAATAAATTCTAAATTCCCTTTTTTTTTTTTATTTGCTTCTCTCTCCCTGTCCCTCTTCTTTTCTCCTTAGCGGTAGAAGAAGGGGAGTCTTCAGAGTGTGGAGGGACCTGGGATGAATCAACTGTCCAGACAGGTTAGTGTACAGACACATGCACACACTGGCGTTGTAATGGAGTTCCAGCCAGCTGTCAGATACATACAAGACGCTAAAGTCTGCATGTCTCTCCCACACACCGACCGACAGACACAGACAAATCATAATATCAGTTCCATGTGATTTACAAGGGCCTGCTCAGAGGGATATCAAGGAGAAGAGAGTGGAAAAGATGGAGAGGTTTAGTGAACGTAGAAGGAAGGGTGGAGGGATTTATGAAAGTATTAGGAGAAAGATAAACCAAGAGAGGGAAAAGAGGAGATTTGAAAAGAGAAAGAAAGAATGATAGGGAGATGTGGAAGGAGACAGAGCACTTAGTCTCAGGAGTCGGACTGAATGGAAAGCGATGACGGTGGAGGGGGGGGGACAAGAGAGAGAGATTTGTGTGCTTTTTCACTACTCTCTGTGGTCTGGTGATATCCTGGGAGGAAGTCAGAGAGATGGTGGAGCTTTTCTTTTCTTTTTGTTCTTTCTTGGATTTTGTTTTTCCTTGTGGTTTCTCCAAACCAAATTCTCCATTTTCTGTCTCTTTCTGTCTGTCTCTCCCTCCCCTCCTCCTCCTCCGTCTTCTCTCTTGTTTCCACACTGGGATGGAAATTTTAAATTATCCTCACTCGCCCTTTTGCCTTGATGGAAAATTAACAACTAAATCAACTGCTTTGTCAGAGTATGAAATGAGTAGAGAAATAATGTAGGTTTTTGTAGCTAATCAGAAGATGGCAATGGTTTATTTTGATGCATTTATCCTGGGGAAAAAATACAACTTTGCACAGGCGATATGCAAAATGTTGTCACGAACGCAAACATTTTCAGGAAAAAATCAAGATAATTTAATATGAAACCTAACCAGTCCCAAGTTCTGATTAATTAATGCTGTGTGCATGTGGAGCTTTTTATTTGGGCAATATGTTTCCAGCTATGACTGTCTTCAGGAGTAGTTTTACTTCAGGAATCAGTCAATAATTTTCACAACCGGTTAATCTACTAATTTTCCTCCCTTGATTAGTTAATTAAATAAAAGTTCCCAGTGTGTATTGTGGTGTCTTGAAATTAAGAGTTCAAAGTCATAGAAGATTATGAAAGCCAAAAAATATTCCAATTTGAAAAGTTAAACTCAATGAATTTGTGTTTTTACCATTAAAATTGATGAAAAATGAATTCTCTTGTAGTTGACTATTAATCACAGTTGTACAGAAAATAATGGCATGATGACTGTAACAGTAGATGTACTATGTAGGAAATTGCTCTGTATTGAAGCATGGACATTACAAAATGCACATGTGCAGCAGTGACATAGCAAGATGTGAAGTAAGGAACATTAACTCAAGCACATAGTGCTGCAACGTTTTTGCTCCCTGATACAAATAAAAGAGCCTGCATGGTTCTCATTTAGCAGAATGCACAAGAGAAGTCCATCTGATAGAACTTAATTTACTCTGATTTAAGGCTTCTTGGCGTTTTCAAAAAAACTTTATCTGCAGGAGTTTGTTAGCATGCAGGCTGCACATGTGCAAGATGAGAAGGGACAGGAGAGAAACACTGAAAAGGAGGATTTAATTGAAACACAATGTCAGTGGTATGGAAACATTTGGGCTACAGAAAGGACGATGTTGACCAAAAACAGGCACTCTTCCCCTCGGCAGCATTTCACAATTGTTGCCACCACACAAGGCAACACAACTTTATTTGTTTAACCATTCAGCACAGTGCTCTGTATGACGAGTGTAATGCCAACACTGAATGCCATCCAAAGCAAAAAAGTATTTAGGATGCCTTTACCAGTGTTAGACTGTGTGAAGTTGGTTCCAAATGCTCAGCTTTTAGTCTTTATTTTTGGTGCAGTACCCTACAAAATCACCCCAATCATTCCAAACTGATAAATTCTTTTGCAGTATTCAAGTCATGTGGTGAAAATTCATTTTTTTTAAAATATATATATCTTGCAATATATGCCGCAGAAGAATAAAATACTGCAATGTCCTGTCTTTCCCCCCAATATAGTGCAGCCCTACTCTATATCCGAATTGCTGCAATAAGTCAAAGGTCCCCGTGTGGAAAAAAAAGTTGCATCTGCTGGGCCCATATGCTAGCTCTGGCACAACTCAGCTATTGACATTTTGCTTTACTGTTGTCATTAGTGCTTTAGAAAAGATCAAAGTACATATTTTCCCTAACTGTAGCAAAAAAAAAAAAAACGAAAATAAAAAAAGCACAGTTGAACTACTGTAGGTGTTTGTCAGCTGTAGCTAGTTTTTCTGCTCCGGTTTGCAGCCTATCAGAGAACAGTTAAACACTTCCTCTGACTAGATCCCAGCAGGGAAATAAGATACTGCTGAATGTGGTAAATATGCAGTTATCTCTCTCTCTCTGCCTCTCTTGCCCCGTCTCTCGTTAAGCTCTGCGGGGATGGGAGGATAGGAAAGTATGACCCTTGGGGTGTCTATGACGTACCGAACCCTCCCATCCTCGGCCCCCCTCCTCCAAACCTGTGCTAACTCTCCTCCGGGGGCCACTATACAGGTCTATGTGTTTGAGTGTGCGTGTTGAGGGGGGTGCTGACTGAGGTCCTGGGTGGCTCACTAGAACTGCTGTGTGTGTCAGTTCCTGCAGGAAGCTGGAGTCCCATGACGCACACACACACACACACACACACACACACACACACACCTATCTGAAAGTCTTCCTCCCATAAAAACACACTGTCCCATATTCCCTTACTCAGCCACTCTTTCAATTTGGATTTTACCGTCAATTCCCTGTCTCGGTGTCCTCTGCTTTTCTCCGTTTCGCTGCACGATTCCCTCTTTCTATCTGCCCCTGTTTCGTCTTTCCACCGCTGTTTATCGCTCATCGGTCCCTCAACTTTTTCCACTGTTTATCCACGCACTTATTAGAATATCCCTTATTTAAGCAGATTAAAAAGAAAAAAAAAAGACCTTGCTTCCTTTGCTCCCTGGGAGATAGTGTTGACAAGGTGAGAAAAAAAAAAAAAGCAAGAGAGTGGAGAAATATTCATTCCCATCCTGCTAGTAAATTCACAAACTTCCACCCCTGCTCTCTTCTTTTGCTGTCGTCTCCCCCTTTTCGCTTTCTCTGGAAAATGTGTGTTGAGTTTGGAAAGACCCGCAGGAGAGAAGGTGGATGGAGGTGGGAGGGTGACTTGAAGGGAATAGCATCGAGCCAACTTATTCTCCCCCCTCCTTCCTACATCTTTTCCTCCTCCTCCTCCTCTCCCCCTGGCCTTTCTGCCCCAGAGAGGAGCCAGTGGAGGCCAAAGGTGCCCCAACACCCTCCTTCCCTCCTTCCCCCTGCCCCTGCAGCCCCTCGGTAGGACAGAAAAACAACTTGTCCCCTTCCTCCCTCGTTCCCTCGCTCCCCCAGTGTGCTGGGAGAAGAAACAGACAGAAGTTGCCAAGGATAGAGAAAGGAAATGAGAGAGAGATAGTTGGACAGGGAAGGTAGCAGCAGAGTTGCCCTTTTTTATGAGTCATCCGTTCAGACTTCTTTGTATGTTCGGTCTCATGTGGGAGAATGGACCCTGGAAGGCGTGGGACACATGTCAAATCAGGCAGGAGAGCACTTACAAAGCATGTGTAAATGATCTGTGTCAGTGATGGTATCGTCCTCTCCATTCTCTTGTTTTCCTCCGTCTACTGTAGACGACACATACACACATTTACACAAACACTTACTGTGTTCACACAGATACTCAGAGAGTCACATACAGAAAGAGCCAATGAGTCATCATGGAAAAGGTTTGTCAGGTCCCAAAGCTGAAACTGAGAAACTGAGACCTACTGCATTATTATTATTCGCTATGTGAATGTGTGTGTGTGTGTGTGTGTCTGTGTGTGTCTTTGTGTGGTGACACAGACATAACTTGTCAGTGAGAAAGTCGCCTCCACCGATCGGATGACAGATCTATATCAATATCAGCAAAGTGTGTTAGAGTGTATTCAATTATAGCCGGACCAGTTTAGCTTACATCAGCTTGCAACTTCTAAATGAATTTCTAAATATAGCGCATGTTTATTTTATTGTAGGTCTTTGTGGAGGTCTGAAGTTCAAGGTTAGTTTGACTTAGATCCTGTGTTTTACATTTACTGTATTTATCGATTGATCGACTGCAGCAATTGAATAATTAGTAACTGAAGAGAAGAGAAAAACTGTCTTTTAGGGACACAGCAGAATGTATGAAAATATATTTTAAGACGAACATTGACAAGCCTTAGTTCTGAAACTAATTAAGAGAGCAGGATACAGTTTGGTGAGCATCATAAGGCAACATTATAAATGCAATCAAATGAAATTAATTTAAATTGCCGTAATGCACCAAATCTTACGGTAAGCAAGACTCAGTGTGAAGAAATGCATTTGAGCGTTACAGTTCACAAGGTCAAGCAGATAACCACTACATTAGATTAATCAGATCGAGGATGCATAACATAATCTATGGAATGTTAGGCTTGTGTAGTTTTTGTTCAACTATATTTTTTTGCTAATTTTCAAATAGCAAGATTGAACCTCAGTCTAATGTACTGATCTCAGTTAAAGTTGTGATCAAAAACAACTCCCACATCTCTGGCTATCTAGGACTTCAGTCTTACCTGTATTAAGTTGAATGAAGTCAGAACCATCCAGTCATTAATGACAGTAAATCCATATTGCAGAGATTCCAGATTATGCAGATTTTCAGGGCTAAATGAGACAGAACTGGGAGTGAAATGGCGAATATGGGCCAATTCATGTGTTCTGCATCTGTGTGCGCTGACTAATGCAGCTTTTAAAAGTGGAGAGTGGATGTGCATGTGATTCGATTCATACTGCAATAAGTCTGCGCAGATGGTAGCCTTGCCTCTCGTATCAAACACATTTTTACAGGATGTGGCGCCTACCTACACACTGAGTTGTAGCAGTGTTTCAGTGAATATTTCTAAGGTGTCAAACAAAGTGAGACATAGCACAGGATTTCTGGAGAA